AGATACGGTTAATTAAAGGCCAAATTATCAATTGTGCTTTGACAATGTTTACATGTTGTTAAGGGTAGCCAGAGTAAACACCTGATAGGCTACAACTAGGTGAGAAACGTCACGAGAGCACACCCCCGCAACATTCAGACCCTCCTTATAATGGGACAGATAGGTAGCCAGTCAAACCTATTAGAGACGCATTGTCTATCTCGGACTGAATGAGAGTGAACCGCTTCTGAGTCCTCTAACATTTGCAACATGGCTCTTGCAGATGCGATGTTGCCTTCGATAAATACTTTTGCAAGCAACCAGATGTTAGACGAAAAGCAGTCTGAAATTGTACGGGTGAGTTCAACTTTTCATTTCAATTTAAGTTTTATTTCAAATGTAGCCTATTTTGCAGCACTCAGAGCGAATTATGAGGGTATGGTATAGGTTTTACATGTTTTTTTATACGTTTAACTAATCACGGGAGTTACAAGTTATTGGTAAATAGCCTACAAATCGTGTTCGTATGAAGAGGAAACAGTAGAGCGTTGCTTTCATTAGAATTATTATCGTAGTGTAGGCTATACATCATCAGCAAAACAAATAATGTCATTATTTAGAGCATAATTATATATTTAGATTTCAAGAACATAGTAAGCTTTTAAAAGTTTTGTTAAATCGATTGGCTAGTTGACATTCTTGTGAATCCCAGTTACGCCGAAAATTTTAAATGGTCTCCCCTGCAAGTCATTATATAATTCACGCACTGCAGCCTACAAGTATGCTACATCTTTATAGACAACACGTCTGTGTAGTATATATTTTTAATCATTTGAATGACTATGACTTTGTTATCTGAAGAAATGCTTACCCGATTTTATTTTTTTTTCTTCAGGACTGGAAAGTTGATCCAACTAAAACTAGCTCGACAGTTGGAGACGTGAGACCCCTCATCGAGGTGGAGTTCAGCATTGTTGAATCTCCACCTTTGGCCAAAGACGAGGATGAACTTTCCAAGTTTTTGGATCTAGAGTTCATTCTGTCCAACTCCTTCACGTCTGACAATGACAACAACTCAGCGCAGCCGGCCTATTCTCTACCGGAGTCACCAGAAAGCTGCAGTACCGTGTACGACAGCGATGGATGTCACCCGACGCCGAGCGCGTATTGTGGCACCAACTTTAACGCACGCCCCGGCCACAGTCTGGTAGCCGAGTTGTTTACTCCGGACATGAATTATCATGGCGACTCGCATGAATATAGTTTGAAAGGACATTTAGACAGGCTGGAGTACACTGAACTAAGGGCTCTGAACTCAAGAAACCAGGCACAGGTGTCCAATTCTAATAACGTGGGATACAAAATAAAAAGTGAAAACTACGAGCAATCCTGCATGATGGTAAACGACTACGTGGGTCATTATTATGGACAAGACCCCCAGCGCGTGATGCAGCAGCATCAGGCTAATGGGCATCACGTGCAACAAGATGTGCCTCGGGACATTTTAGGGAGGAAAGACTGCATCCTAACAGAGGCGAACTCTCACCGTCATATTGACATTGCACATCAACAGCAGTTCATGAATAGCGCGCCTTTTCCACCTCAGTACGCCCAGCATCAACAGTATCACGGACATTACAACATATTTAGCGAGCCACTGCGGGCAAATCACCCGGCCATGCCAGGTGTGATGTTGACTCCACCATCCTCACCCCTCCTGGGATTTTTAAACCCAGAAGACAGCAAGCCAAAACGAGGGCGTCGGTCATGGGCACGAAAACGGACAGCGACGCACAGCTGTGAATTCCCCGGATGTGGGAAAACGTACACGAAAAGCTCCCATTTGAAAGCGCACATGCGGACACACACAGGTATGTCGCGGAGTTTTGTAGGCTACATGCTGTTTTGAACTTAATTTCTCACTATGAAGCGTTTAACCAAAGTCTGTACACAATAATAAATGTTTTCCCCCGTTCTGTTCACAGGTGAGAAGCCCTACCACTGCAGTTGGGAAGGCTGTGGCTGGAAGTTCGCCAGGTCAGACGAGTTGACGCGTCACTACAGGAAACACACCGGACACAGGCCGTTTCAGTGCCACCTGTGCGAGAGAGCGTTCTCCCGCTCAGATCATCTGGCTCTGCACATGAAGAGGCACATGTGAATCATAAAAAAGACTATATCTATTTTAAACCACCAGAGGATTTTATATTGTTAAGATAATTCCTATTTTGGGACAGCGGTTATATGAATAGCAGTATAATGTCATTTTATTTAAATGATGACAGTATTTAATAGGAGATTCTTGCTCATTTAGAAGGTAAATTATGTAGTACTTTCTCAGATGTATAAAAACGGGGCAGGACCCATACTTTTGTATAGGCTATATGTTTTCTATTCTCCATTTATGCATGTGTATTAAGTCAGGGAGTATTTTTTTTTCATGGATTTTCAGAAGAATTAAAAGCATTGTCTTTTTTTTGTACTCAGCCTTTTGTCTCATTTTGTTTCAAGTTTCTTATTTTAAATATTGTGAGTTGCCACCCTGAAAGGTATTAAAAACTAAGATCTACGCAAAGAACATACAGCACAAATAATTTTACTCCATAAAATACTGAGCAAAATAAGTAAAGCTTCATATAAATTGAAAATAGAACCGTTAAATCAAAAGGTCTACACTCTTCTTCATATATTTATATTTGGCCATTTAAAAATACTGTCTACACTGTACCTAAGCCAATACTTATACTGTTACTACCAAAACTCAAAAATCAAGTAATTAACTTATGTAACATCACCATCATTGTCAACAATTATAATCATCACAAATATTGTGAAAATAACTTGAGCTGTTCAGAACACAGACAGTATCCATTCCCTTATGCATCATGTTACTGTTACTTGAAAAGCTATAGTATGTCGCCCTCTCCTGTCTGAAAATAGGTAGGCAGTTTAGTCACAGAATCTCACAGGTGGTCAAACCAATGGAACAGTGGTTCTTAATCATGGCCCTCCGACAAAAGCCAGAATTTCAGCAATACTTAAAAAGTATTCCTAATTAAACACGAAGGCTGTTAAATGTATTAATGTGATGTAATTAAAAAAAAAAAATCATTCTTTATTTGTTGATTTAATTGATTTAATTTATTTTTTTTCATTGCCTTCTTCATTAAAACAGCATTTATATACTATCTGGCTATTGTAAAAAAGCTTAGTGCAGTCTCCCTCTGCTGGCAGGAAGTCACGCTACAACAAAACACCTTGCTTTGTTCAGTTACATATCTCGAATATAAAAATAATTACTTTCCATATTCAACTACATATTTAAATATAATATCAAAAGTGGCTTTCATCACTACTTACGTTTGTTAAAAATATTAAGAAATTAAAAAAAATTGAACCGGGGAAGTTTTTGAAATGTGGTAGGTTTGACAAGATATTAGTCATTTTGTAAAGTTTATCTGAAGGTATCGATTTCTTCCACGAGATGGCAGTCTTTCCTATGGTTTGTGTCTGATATTACATCTGCTGATACAATGCCACGCATAGTTGAGAACACACTAAACTAACAAAGATAAGTGTGCAGGGGTACTGGTGAGCAAGATAAAACTGTAAATGTAAAAGCACTAAAATCATATTCATCTAACTTTGGGCTATAGTAATAATTAATTTATATGTGTTTTAAATTAATTATATTGCTCCCAATTTTCACTGTCCTATAACTATTAAAATGTTAAGGTTACTGAACTATCTAATGACTACTGAATTATCTAAATAATAATGCAGACAGAATGTGCTGACTTTTGACAATGCAGACTTTTTTTGTGAGATTTGGTCTCACAACATTCACCCCTTTTAAAAGTTTCCTTTGAAGCTAATAACCAGATTCCATTTTCATAAAGAGATTTTATGACTGACATTAGTGGGGGACCCATGACTATTCTATATGTTTGTGCAAGCCAAGGTTACAGGCTATCATGCACACACTGATGTTATATGCCTGATATTAAGAGAATTTAGGTTAAGGCTTATTTAAGTCATAACTACTGAATTAAACGCAGAACCATTTAGACTACTCTTCATTCTGCCTCTTGAGATAAACAATTTAATATCGTTGTGTATTCAGGCCATTTTCTAATTAGAGTGGGAAAAACTTAAGAGGGACCAATGGCACACCTTAACGTTACATGCTAGAGCTGGAGCATATCACTCAGTATAATAGTCATTTGAATTGCTAGCGTTTGTTAAACGCACCGCTACGCTGCGCAACGGTGCGTGAATGGGGAAGCGTGTATATCCTCCTTATACCGTCTTTCAGCATCATTTAGAGATTAAAAGGTAACGAATATGTCTGTCGCCGTATGTCCTCATTTCACCCACTATATTCATTCCACGCTCACATACTGTGTTGGCTACGCAATTGGTTGCTACGCGACAGGGCATTATGTTTAAGATTTTGGCAGCACACCTCGCCCTCCTTTTTACATATGTCATATTTGAAAGGATTCAGAAGCCAAAAATAGCTGATTTAGGAAGTAATAGGCTAATAAAACGCCAGGAGTTTTATTTGCAATCCGTTACTCAATATAATCGCAGGTCTTTGTCTACCGGAAACATCCATCTATCAACCGCAGCAACACACGTGCTCAATACTACCGGCAATTTTTTAGTTAGTTACGACATCTTATTCTCACTCAGATCCTCTGATAAGGTGATCTGGCCGGCGTCTTCATCATTACCGAACTTGATTGAATTTATTTTTATTCAGCTTATACGTTGGTCAGAATTATTTAAGAGTTAGCCTAATGTTTGTGTCTGCTCATTTATGGTTTGTTTTCAGATGAGAACCAGTACGTTGAGCCAGATCACTGCTTTGTAATTACATTATCCTGAAGTCACTTATGAAAAGCCTTGAAACTCTTAAAACTATATTCACAGGGGGTGGAGAGGGCGGTGTCTTTGGTTAAGAGGTGGGGCCACATCTGAACAGCGTGTACTTTGAATATTGGAAGTTTAACAAAGAAATGTCCATCAATTTAATGAGGTCGTGTTCAAAACAGACCCACTTGACAGCTGTCTTCTGTATAACACCAAGGAGCAAGCGATGGTAAGAGATACTAGGCTACTACACGAGGTGTAGCCTACAGCCGAATGATTCTTCCGTATGTTCTTTCATACCACTAGGAAGAGATGCATAGCTTTAAAAGAGTAACAGATAATCAGCTGTTTGAAATGTAACTGTTTAATAGAAACGTTTAACTATTGTTTATTATTCGTTTCAGGTCAGAATAGCATTAGGCTAGTAACAGGGCGGGTGAAGTGTCAGTAATGATGCTGTTTATACATTTTGCACCCTACAAGCTGTACAATAATTACATCCTTTAATAGCTGTTTATTGGGTTTATCATTTGATAACATACGTATGAAGAACCTGTTGAATTTTCCATGACGCGGTTAAAATTGTTCCAGTGGTTTAAAGGTGTTTTTCCTCCCTCTTGCTTATATTTTCAATCGAAGTATTAAATGTCAGATTACCGGATTTGCGACACGTTCAAATAATTTTTGATTGTCATGATTTACAGTGAATAGTCAGCTAGTACTCGTAGACTATTACTACTTAAGGCTCAGACACTCATTAAGTGATGAACCTATAAATGGTCTTATCAAATTACAAACATTAGATTAATCTCTGGAAATTACAGTAACCTACAGTCATACATTCAGTACAACATTTTTGACTGTGATCCTTTTTTGTGTGCAAACACACGAATCAATGCCTTATACATTGTCACAGAAAGTTGTTACAACTTTTGGTTTCCCAGTTTCATATAACATTTACATTTATTCAAAGTGACTTACAAATGAGAAACACTAGAAGCCTAACCTTATGTAAGGTGGTTTTGATGTCATATGTCTAGAACATCTCTCTTAGTTTGAGTTTAATACTCAGTAATCACAGTACCCACTTTATTTAACCTGAATAACCTGAATGATGCAGATATTTAGTTTATTATTTTAACATGTTCAGTTTTCTTTTATCGTTCATTTATAATCTTTTCATATTCTGGGTATAGATGTTGGTATTTTTAAGGTACAGAATGGAGATTTCTGGAAAGATTTGCTATTTCAGGCACTTATACAGTATAATACTTCAAGATCTGGTATGTATTACAAGAAACCATATTCTTCTCATTGTTTTGAATATAGTGGTGATAGAAGAATCTAACCATTTGACCAGTCTTTTATTAACAAAATGTATATTCTTTTGTTAATACATGAATCTGCTGCTTGCATTGATAGTACAATCAGTTGCTTCATTCTGCCATTAGGGTCTAAGTAAAACGTTTAGGCCATCTTTTCAATTTCCTAAAAACAAATTCAGGGAGAGGCTGTATGTAAACAAATAAAAGACCCTCCTCCTTTGCACGTGCTTATCCATCTTATTTAAACATGTTGGGCATGCTGAGATAATTTTTTGCCATTGAAAAATTGATGAGAAGAAGACACAGGATAATATCATAGCCACATGTGGGCCAAATCTGTTCACAAACATGTCAAGATCATTTATGATAAAGCAGAGCAGCTCAAAGGCATGTCAAACCATGCTATAAGTGACCATGCTGTCAAAGCACTACCTCTGTACCATACATGGTGTGGTTTAGCTCCAATACATAAAAAAGTGTCCTGTGTTGACATTCTGTGTCACGTGCTAGAGAAGTGCCAGAGTGTGGTACTTTAATGGACTTTTAGTTTATTTGCTTTTTATTTGTTTAACCTTTTGCTATGGCCATACTTCAGAATGGATTTATTATTATTATTATTTACATTTGCAATGTACAATATAGAGGTTAAAAGTCTGTGAGAAAACAAAAGTATTTATTATTTTTATTTTTTTCCCCAAGGATCTATCATTAAATGTTATGGCCAGAAGGCTTCAATGGCCTTGTACATCTACTCAGTACATGCACAGTTGTTATAACAGTGTGAAGTATTGAATGCTGCATTTGTGAGGAAATTTATGATAAATTCTCTTGAGATTACTTTTCCTAAGCCTTTTGAAAATGAGCACAGCTCCTATAAATGTTTATGTAGTCTGGGAAGGTAGTTTTATTTTTCACAATTAGTGCACCCATGCATGGCCACCTTCATCAGACTGAAAATCAAAACTTTGAATTTCCTGGCCAGACAGACTGTCCACCATTTGTCCACAATGTAAAGTAAAAGGGATTAAATGGCTGTATAAAGAATATTTCTGTGCTGGCTGAGTGGAAATTGGGAATGTTTTTGTTGTTTTTTTTCTGTAGGATGTGCTGTCATGCTTGAACTTCCTAAAATTAAGAGAAACATAATTTTCCATGTAACCCAAATATTGCTTTTCGAAAATAGTGTGGACAAGACCTGATAAGTTCCTGAAAATGTTATCATGTCCATTTTAAGTAAATGGCTGTATAAAGAATATTTCTGTGCTGGCTGAGTGGAAATTGGGAATGTTTTTGTTGTTTTTTTTCTGTAGGATGTGCTGTCATGCTTGAACTTCCTAAAGTTAAGAAAAACATAATTTTCCATGTAACCCAAATATTGCTTTTCGAAAATAGTGTGGACAAGACCTGATAAGTTCCTGAAAATTTTATCATGTCCATTTTAAGTAGTTATAACAAACTGCTTTAACTGAAGCAATGAAACTGGACAAACTGCAGAGATGTAGGGTTAGAAACAAATGGTCAGATTGTTAGTAAGTTTAATGGGAATGAGAAGTTTTGTTAAGTTAATGAGAACTTTTGGCAGTTTTCTCCTCAGTTGAACACCAATAATCAGTAAACGCAGCAATGTAGTAATTTTACCCATATATTTTTTTTCTATCAGTTTTGTTGCTTATGTTCAGTTATACCATATTTTTAAGATGTACAAAATTTGCAGGGCCAAGTACGTCTGATTGATGGCTTTAACCAGTTGAACATTTGCCAGAAAATTGCGCAAAGTTTATCTTAATGAATTTAGATAAGAGAGTAACTTGTGTGCTTTCACTTCTCTGTAGATAACACTTGCAGATAGAATCCGTTTCATGGATGAGCAACAGAAAGAGAAAATATCTAAAATAACAACTGAAAACCAAAGACAGAACAGAAGTGCCCTTTCTCTTTGGTGGTTTTAGGAACTGGTTATATCATTTAGACAAAATCCCTCTCACTGTTAATCATCTACTTTATTGCTATCAATGTTTTGTTGTAAGTTCTGGAAATGTCACTTAATGATAAGATATGCTACTTTTAAAGTGTCTGTCAGTTACTGGATGAATCATAGAAAACTGCTGTAGAATACTTTAACAGAGCACACATCCTAATCCTTATTAGCAAAATCTTGCAATGGTTTATTGAAGAATAATTTATTGGTTTGTTGAGTCTCAATTTCATACACTATTCAGCATTTCTACTAATACATACGAGGTCACAGCCAATGTTATGGGAGGGACTGCAGTGTTTTGGAGCTCTGTGTTATCTCTGTTGGGTGGAGTTGAGGAGGTGCAGTACATTGTATTATGCTACTACAGATGCTCAGTTGCAATCAAGCCGTTCCAGACCAAAAGGAGAAACATAAGCATAAACCTTTAAATAGCTTTAACCATTCTAGTGAAGGATGTTTTGCTTTTGCTGGGGAATTTGGAAATGTTTCTTTTGCGTCTGGTGTCAGATGACATTCACTGTTAAATACAAATGATTTTTTTTTTTTTGGTTGCCATGGTTTGCTGAAATTAGTTTAATATATTTTGGTCTGTTACAATAATGGGACAGTTTTTTTATTATTCAAATTTATGACTGCAATGATGGTGGCAGTTTTTTATTTTCATTTGACATGAGTATTAACTTCAGCTTCAAAGAATTTAAATTGCTTTTTTTTTTGATAAAGTCATGCACTGTGCATCAAACCACACCAAGATGCATTTTATACCTATACATAATGGATTTTTAGACTTGTGTTCTCATTGGCTGGTCAGTCCAAGCAAGGTAAGACACCTGCATGGTTAGCCAGGGGTTGTGTATGTCATTGAAACTGAGTGCCAGTTTAAGCCTTCTTTTCCACCCGTCACAGATAATGAGAGCCACCCTATGACCTGCCACAGCTTTGGATTGTAGTCACTTCATCAGCCACTTTAAAGCAGTGTCTGCAAGGTGACTTCCCAACTTCTACCGTCACATCCAACTGGGTTTCTGGAACATTGCATTGTCTTCTGATGCCATTTATATTAGGGGCATTCCAAAGGGTGAAACACTCATTAACTTTGCACAGCATTAACAATTGCAGGCTCAAGATACTTTTCCAGGAGTCAAGCCTTGAAATGCTTAAAGTCGGCATGAAACGGAAGTAGCGATTGTCTTTTTTTCTCT